ATCTGTCGTGGTTCCGACAGATGAAACTCTTCAAAGAACTTTGAGGCATTGTTTACCTTAAAGAATCTTTATTTTGAGTCTGTGTAACATCGGCACTGCATAATTGAAGCCAAAAACTGAATTCCCCACTTGATCGACGGTCCAGCAGGGGGGCTGGGATTCTCTGTAGTACAGTGGTTGGAGGCTTTTTGGGGGGGGGTGGCTGTCCCTGGGGTTGATTTGGCCTCAACTCGGCTTCCTGGGGGGGGGGTGGCTTCTGATAGCAGGCAAGCTGAACATCTAGTCTTACTGCTGCCTGGTATCACTCTTCTAGCTGATCAGGGACTGTTCGATAAATGCAAGCCTGAAAGAGGTTGTTGCACATTTGGGGGTGGCTGCCAATCCCATAGCTGCTGCAGTGCTCCCAGCGGTTGCTGACCCCTTGGCATCTGCATCATCCACAGTTGTTGCAGGGTCCTCATCTGCTGCTGCACTTTTGTTGGCTGTGGCCATCTCCAATTCAGCTGCTGCACTGCCAGTGACTGCTGGCTTCCCAGCTGGGGAGGCTGTGACATTTCCCATTGGACTGTCTAGCCCAAGGGTAGGCAACCTCAGCTCTTTTATGACTCATGGACTTCAACTCCCAGCTATGCTGACTCAGAAATTTTGGAAGTTGAAGTCCATGAGTCATAAAATAGCTGAGGTTGCCTACCCCTGGTCTAGCCTCTTCTTAAAAATCTCCAGTGATGGAGCGCCCACAATTTCTGGAGGCAAGCTGTTCCACTGTTAATTGTCCTCACTGTCAGGAAGTTTCTCCTTAATTCTAGGTTGCTTCTCTTTTTGTTCAGTTTCCAACCATTGTTTCTTCTCCTGCCCTCTGGTGTTTTGGTGAATAACATGACCCCCTCTTCTTTGTGGCAGCCTCTCAAGTACTGGAGTACTGCTATCATGTCTCCCCTATTTCTTCTTTTCTTTCAACTAGCCAGACCCAAGTCCCAAGTCCTGCATCCATTCTTGAAATGTTTTAGTTTCTAGGCCTTTGATCATCTTAGTTGCTCTTCTTTAAATTTTTTCCAAAGTCTCAACATCTTTTTTGTGATATGTTGACCAAAATTGGCTCCAGTATTCCAGGTGTGATTTTTCTAGGATTTTATAAAGCGGTGCTAATACTTCATGTGATCTTGATTTTATGGAAGAGGCTTATCCCTCCATCTCCTGCTTGCAAGCATTCCAAAAGGCATCTAGTTAGCCACTGTGAGAAGCTAAGTATTTGATCAATATGTACCTTGGGCGAGTCCATCAGGGCTGTTCCTATATTCTTATATTATTATGGGTTTTTTTTGTTTGTTTCTAGATATTCTTGTGGCCTTGAAGCTTTTGGCTAGAATAAATAGAAGTATGTCATCCCTCAAAGTAGATTTTGAATCCTAAAAACGACAACAGAGTAGAGCTTTCTATGCTCCACATCAATCCAACTTCCAAATGGTGAAAGAATAACACATGAGAGTTACTGTCAGGGTACAATCAAAGTCTTATCATTTTGACCTGCAAGTTGGTCTGCAGCCAAGCATACTGGGCAAAGAATTCTGATATTCAAATTTATCTACTAGTATCTAAGGATTAGACAGGTGGTACCTGGCTTAACAGTTGTAACTGTGAGAGGGATCTAGGTGTCCTAGTGGAATTCATTTAAGTATGAACCTTCAGTGTGCTGCAGCTATCAAAAAAGCCAATGCAATCCTAGGCTGCATCAACAGAGGGATAGTATCAAGATCGTGAGAAGTGATAGTACCACTTTATACTGCATTAGCGAGACCACACTTGGAATACTGCATCCAGTTCTGGTCACTATGATAAAAAAGATGCTGAGGTCCTAGAAAGAGTATAGAGAAGAGCAATGAAGGTGACAAGGGGTCTGGAGCTAAATTATATGATGAATGATTAAGGCACTAGGTATTGTGTTTCCCTGAAAATAAGACCCAGTCTTAATTTTTTTTGCCACCAAAACAGGCACTAGGTTTTATTTTCAGGGGGGTCTTTTCCACTTACCTCTGGCACTGACAGCCCTACCCAGCCGGCCCACTTCTTCTGCAGCCAAAGGAGTAGCTTCATTCTGCAGCTGGGAATGGAGCTCCGGCCTGCATTTCGCAGTCAAAGGCCTTTCTGAAAGGCACTGCAGCCAAGAGGTCTTGCAGAACTGAGCTATGGATCGACCCATAGCTCGGTTCTCGGCTGCAGTGGCCTTCTGGAAAGGCCTCTTATTGCAAAATGCAGGCCTGGAGACACCGCAGAAGAAGTGGGTCAGCGAGGAGAGGCCTGGCTGCAAGATAAGTGGGTGCGGGGCACATGGGGCAGTTCCACCCCCCACCCCCACCCTAGCTTGATTTTTAGGTGTGTGCCTTGTTGTAAAACTAGAGCTTATTTTGGGGGGAAGGGTTTATATTAGGCCCACCCCCAAAAATCAACTAGGGCTCATTTTCAGGGTAGGACTTACTTTTGGGGAAACACGGTATGTCTAATCTAACGAAGAGAAGGCTGAGCTGACATCTGTCCTCCATACTTGAGGTGCTCAACTTAGGAAAGAGGGAGTCAAACTATTCTCCAAAGCACTTGAGAGCAGAACAAGAAATAACAGGTGGAAGCTCATTAAAGTGAGAGCCAATCTTGCACTAAGGAGAAATTTCCTCACAATGAGAACAATCAATCAGTGGAATGGCTTGCCTCTAAAAATTGTGGGTGCTCCATTACTGGAGATTTTCAACAAGAGGTTTGACAACCATTTGTATAGAATAATATAAAGTGTCCTGCTTAAGTAGGGGGTTAGGCTAGAAGACCTCCAAGATCCCATCCAACCCTATATTCTAAGGCATCCTGTCAATTTCACTATCTTGGACTTGGGAAAGTATTGTAGAAATGAAAATGTATTTCTTGACACACACACTTTTCTTGCTGTATCTACTCAGCAGACAAAGAGAAATAAGATTATTTTTGTAGCAGAAGTATTCCTCAAATGCATTCTAAGATCTACCCTCATATAAAATATTCAAAAGAGAAAGTGAGCATGTACTTTATTGTGAATTGCCTGAACCATCTCTGGTCAGATTTGTGTGGACTGCAGCTTTGTCCCAAGAGATAAAGTTTTTTTTTTTTTTAATGGCTAAATCATGACTGCAATAGCATTATGTAGCTGGCAACATTTCAGAAACTGTCAAGTGAAAGGTAACCACAAAAGTAGGTAACCACATTGCACTCCTTACTAGTAAATGTAAGCATTCTGGGATTTTTCAAGTCTTAAATGAAAACATCTGGACTGATTTGATTAATTCTTTGTTTTTCAATGTAAATAGAGGGACGGGATGAGTAAAATGCTAATTATAATATATATATATATTTAAATAAATTTTATGATTAATTTGGAATCACACTGGGTATGAAGCTGTGAGCAACAACACATATGGATGGAAATATATATGCAAATAGTCCATAATTATCAACTGCAGTTAGAACCAGCCACTATGTTGCTAAGCAATACCATTATAAAGTGAAAAAAAAATCACATGACTCTGCCCGAAATAGGATGGCAATTTCAACTAAGGTCACTGGTGAAGCTGTGTCAATCTCCTACAGGATTACCAATAAAATTCTATTCTATCCCTAAAAGTAAAAACAATCATACTTTAGGTTCTACTTGCTGAATATATTCAAAGCAGACAGCTCATTCATTTGATGGAGTGGCAATTCATAGAAATGTATCATAATAAATATATTAGTATTTAACCACAAGAGGTTTATATCACAACAATCTTTCTTATGTTTACTAAAAACAGTAATATATATATTTTTAAAACATTATGTTGCAACACATAATAATATGTGGCTTTAACTATGAGAAAAAAGTCTGTGTGCATGTGTGTACCCACACATACATGCAAGAATTTGATATTTCTTGTATGTGCATTTTAGTTTTGTTGTATTTATTTCATTCCTCTTTCTTAAAGAAAAATGTGCAGTTCTAAAGGCAAGGCCTTATATCAGTGGTGGCGAACCTATGGCACGCCTGCCAGAGGCGGCACTCGGAGCCCTCTCTGTGGGCACGCGTGCCATCGCCCCAGCCCCACCTCCCCCTGGGGCCCCCTTATCACCAGCAGCCCCCCTGAAGGAGAGTCGCCCACAGGCGCGGCCTGCACAGAGCAGTGCAGCCAAGGACATAGCCAGGCAGCAGGGACAAGACTCCACCCTCATGCCTCATAGTGTGCAGATGATGCTGCGGGATGTGGGCAGAGGGCGTGGCTGCCATGGTACTGCAGGGCTGCCTGGGTCATATGCTGTGGCGGGCCATGGAGGCTGTGCATGGTCCTGCAAGTGGGCGGGGCAGGGGGTGGGCAGGGGTGGAGCAGGCAGGATGGGAGGGGGGAGGGGTAGAGGGCGGTTTTTGGGCACTCGGTCTCTAGAAGGTTTGCCATCACTGCCTTATATCTTCATATAAACATACAGATGTTTAATCAATAACTTCACATGTCATTGATCACTTTGCATTCTGAATCAAAAATTAATTTGTACAATTTTTTTATCCTGAGAAAGATTTCTGAGTGGGTGTCTATTAAATATGCTAGTTTACTCTGTTAATATTAAGGTATTCTGGCTGTGAATCCCTGGTTTTTTGCTCAGCTTATCTGAAAAGAATCATGTTGGGAGATCCTTTTAAAATCTATTTACTGTAGATGTTTAGCATGCATAAATCTACCATCTTTATATCAATGTTGATTTTTAAAAAGACCAGATAAAACATTGTATTGTTGTACAATATTGTACTGTTTGTTTATAGACTTATCAGAAGGATCAGTAAAGGTTTTCATATCTATTTTAAAAAGAACATTTTTTTTAGATTTACTTTTCTAAATATAACAAATAGGTAAGCAGAATCAGAAATAACACCTTTGATCATCTTTTTGACCTATATAGAATATTTATTGAGGATTTATCTTTGTTCTAATTAAAAAAAAACATTTTTGTTTTTGCAGATGGAGTTTCTTCGGCTTTTCAGAAGTTTCATTTGAAAGGATGGAGAGATATTTCCTGACACTGCAACTTATCTGATACATCAAATATACTGCAGGGGAAAAAAAGCAAAGAGGTCTTAATCACTCTGGACAAGAGTTCAACAACTAAAGTTTTAATGCAGAAAAATGCACAGACATGTCTGCTGTGGTCATCTACCTTCTTCCTTAGTCTGAAAAGGAAATGTCCAGTGTTAGTTCTATTAGCTCCTTCTCTGAGCTATTTCACAATTCAGGAATCATTAACAAGAAGTGTTGCAAAACACAGGAAGCTATCATCAACCATGTCAAGTCAGTCTATCATAGTACAAACAGACTGATGATGGCCCCCCAGGATTTATTACAGAATATGTAGTCCCCAGTGCTGCTTCAGGCAGTTATCTGACCCTGGGGATTCTGCCAAGAAGGGTGGGCCCTAATGCATGCTTTACTTGCAAAACCCCAAGCTTAACCCTCAATGATTTGTAAATGGCTCTGCCTGAAACCTTCCTAAGGTGCTAATTAGGCAGGCAATTCAATATAAGTCAACTTCCTGGTTTCCTAATATTAGATAATATTTTTGTGACTCTAGTTCAGCACAAGCAAATTTGAATTATTGCTTGTGATAATTCATATCAAATTCCTATAATAATCCATATTGTGATGATTTGGTTATATAAAAGGATGAATGGCAGTTCCTGGATCCTCTCATGTTTCACTTGAACAAGGGTCTTTCAGTGGCATATGGCACAAGTGTGGCAAATAAGAGCACCAATTGGGCAGATCTAAAATATAAACTGGAAAGGATAATAAAAGTCTTTGATGACTTTTTGTCCCCATGGGGAAAAAAATTCCAAATTTCCTTTATGGAACTTATTCAGCTCATTTCTAATCATGTTTCCTGAAAGTAAGAATAACAAAATTTAATAAAGGAAGTAGATTTAATCTATATTTTTCTTTGGTCAAATGCAACTTTGTAGGAATAGTTTTTCATTGCAATCCATTAATTTGACATAAATGTCAAGATAATTTCCCAACCATATCTTGATTATGAACATTTTCTTTTAGTTGTTGTCTCTTTTGGTGTTGAAAAAGCTAACTTCAAAGGAAGCTATTGTTGCCATCATGTTTTTTCAGTGGATAAAGACAATCACATGTGAATTGAACTCAGTTCCTATGTAAATACAATGAAGATTAAAATATAGGTAGTACTTGATTTACAATCATTCATTTAACAAATGTTCAAAGTTACAACGATCCTTAAAATGTGACTTATGACCGGTTCTCACACGGCTGTCACATTCCCACAATCACATCAAAATCCAGGCACTTGGAAACAGCATGTATTTACAACAATTGCACACTGTCCTGGGGCCAAGTGATCACTATTTGTGATCTTCCCAACAGTCTTCCAACAAACAAAATCAATAGGGAAAGTCGTATTTGCTTAATAATCTCATGATCCACTTAATAACTGTTGTGATTTGCTTAACAACAATGGCAAAAAGGTTGTAATTTGTGCATGATTCACTTCACAACCACTTTGTTTAGCAACCAAAATTCTGGTTCCAAATGTCGTCATAAATTGAGGATTACCTGTACCTGTACCAGAGTGCATTTGAGTTAAGAATGGCATACTAAAGCAAGCTCAGTTGTATTGATTATACACTTACCAGCCCATCTTTACTGATGTTCTATTGATATCTGATATCCCAGATATTTTCATATACAAATGAAAAGATTAGGCAGAATGTTTGCTCATTGGACATATAGATACTGATGAGAAGGAGCGCATACTCTGCTTTGCATTGTGATTTGGAAATGTGCCTATTGTACCCAGTTTGCTCAGAGCAATAACTTAGAGGGAAAACATTTGTTGCAAGAAGATGGAATTTATTTCATTAGTATTGTTTGAATTAAATTCAAGGGAGAGATCATTTGTAGTGCAGCATCTAAAGTATTTTTTAAATAGGTAGCTGCATGGAACATGCATAAGCCATACCCAAGAGAAAATAAAAAATGAAAAAGGGTTTTTGAAATGTTGTTCATTTAAAAATGCATATTTTTATTTGTTTAAGAACATGTTTATAGAAAATGTTGTCATATGCTTTAGCCCCAATCAAAATCATAGCTTTGTTTTTTGTTTTGTTTAAAAATGAGACTAATTAAAATATTCTGTTTGTCTTTTGGTGGGAAAAAGGTAATGATATATTGAAAATGTTGTAAGCCCTATTTTTAAATAAATATTTCCTAGTCGTGTGTAATGAATTATATATGTGGGCTTTTATCAATTATATGTAAACAGAATTGTATTGTCATTTATTACTATCTTATATTTTAGCAGCTAAAATTCTGCTTCTTAAAATATGTTGACTATTACATTAAAAAATTATGGTTCATGTAATATATAATGTTCATGGATGCTTGATTACTTAAAGGAATGTTATTTATACAGATATAGGATGCAGCAGAACTACTACTGCTAAAATGGGTTGGCTAAAATGGAAGGCATCACGGAAACCACAGCTCTGGATAGATTACATCAAAATACATGATAGCAATATTGTGATCAGCAAGAACGGTTTGAAACTGTTCCTGGTACAGTGTTGCTTTTAAACATTATATAAATAAAATGTAAATGGGAACTAAGGCTTATTAAAAGAGCTATGTGTGGTCTTGAAGATTCTATCTCACATGTATTAGAAATTCTGTGTTTGTTGTCTCAGATGCAGAAAAATGCAATGCTAGATATGAAAATGATGTCATTTATGATGTACATTTTGATTTAGCTTACCCTGGGAATGTGGCACAACCAACAGTGGGATTAGATAGTCTGTACCTGCCAACTCTAGTGTGAATTTGCTAGAGAGGCTGTAATTTCATGATAACCAGTCTCTAATAAAATTGTTTTTGTTTGACTGTGAGGATTTCTCAGGAAGGAACACATTTACTCAAGCTTAGTTGGGCATTATATACAAATACACTGAAAATGGATAGATGTAGTCTGTCTATTAATGGAAGAAGTTTTCAATACTTACCATAGCATGTTTAATCCAGATGGAAGTATAGTATCAATATTTGCATAACATAACAAATTTACTTAATTTAAATTTTGGTTAGGATTCTTTTTGTTCTAAGTAAGCTGCAGAAATCTAGCCCTCTACTATTTGATTATTTGATTCTTCCTATAGTATAGACTCAGAAAGATGCTAATAAATGGACAAAAATATATGGAAAACAATAACATGGATCACCACAATCAGTTCCAGTAATTAAAGCATTTGTGAAGTGATGCCATCGGAGTGTAGTTAATGAATGAATAGTAGAAGAACCATCTTATTTATAGACATGGTTTTAATTCCTGAATTTGTTTGCATTTCCAATCCCTATCAAATTTATCACAAGGATATATATTGTACAAATATATTTTAGTGGGGAAAGAAAAAAACCTATTGTGCAATGTTTTTTGTCTGGAAATTTTGTGGGAATTTCTACTGGCTTAACCCTATGATGTGAGGTCAAAAGATACATTTCATTGCATAGAATCTGAACTAGTATACTAGCTATATACAGTACTGTTTAGCAATAAAACATTATTTATTGCTTTATTAAATTTGTACTAAATTTACAAACTTTATTTATTAAAACACTAGAACAATATGTAACACTGCATTGGTGAGACCACAATATAAATTTATTGATCACCTACCCATGGCAAATTAGACCTGAATATTGGTATACTTAAACTGATATGTTACCTATGTCTCTTTCAAACTAAAATGCATTTTCTGAGAATAAGATATTTTGTAAGCTTGTAGATGCCTGACCATACAATCTGATTGCTACAGCAGACTTAAGACTATTTATCAAAAGCAGCAAATAAACTTCTAAATGCTATATAATGTTCTTCAAATTTGTAAAAAAAAAAAGAAGGGAATTTCAGCAGGATCAAACAATATCTAATCTCTTTAATGACTACATTCATTTCCTTTTTGTGCCATTCTTGGTTATAACCCAATTTACAAAGCATTTGTCATGGATGCTTTATGTTAGTTTTGTTTTGTTTTGGGGGGATTGCGCTATAAGTCAATCAAAGAGTTAATAAAAACGCCTTGCTCTAAAAGGTCATTTCCAAACTAAATGCAGCAATTCAAAGTGGGAAATGGAATGAATGCCAAGGAGATGTTTAATGAAGTAACATTTGAGCTGTATCCTTTCAAGAACATTTGCAGAATTGTTTGATTGCCTTAGAGTACACAGGAAACAATAAACCTACACAGCAATAGCAGGGTCCCTGGTGGTTACATTTGCTGAAAGACTGCCAAATTACTTGGAATTTTAAGTACAGTACAGTTAAGGTCGAACAATCATATGTGGTAGAAATTTTGCCATGTATTCTGGATACCAAAGTAGTTTGGGGCAAGAATTCATTTTATGAATTTCAATACTCAGTTAGAATTACTCAGCCTATTCATAGCGTACAATGCACATCTATTTAAATAGCACTAGGAATTAGTCTTGGGACACATTCACACAATACCATTACACACAAGGCATTGCTGCCACGAAAGCTGAATTAAAATCACTTCCTGCTGTAAGTGATAGAGTTTGCTACTGGTGCACAAAGCATGTCTTACAAGTTTATTTTAGATATGTGAAGAGACAAATGGAGCAGAATAGCATCTCTTCAAATGAATCCATAACATTGTGGATTAAGTGCGGTGGATTGTCCAGGACTTGCAGCTGTATTATTCTCAATTCATAGAAACTCCTTGACAGATAGCATCCACCTTTGACCATTTTTCGAGTCAATGTTTCTAATATGCATCCTTTACTAACTTGATTCTCTGACAATTAGAAAGGCCAGCTGACTATTGATTCTATAAGCATAATGATATGCTATTGCTGTAGATGTTGAAAATGAACTGATGAGGATAAGTGAGAATAGCATAGTCATACATGGTGTGCACAGAGAGAAGAACTCCTGCCAAGAAGAGCTGCAAGCTCTAGAAAATTCCCAACTAATTCTGAATATAACCCATATGTGAAATTGCAAAGATTACACTTTAAGAGCTATATTGCTCCGCCAGTTACTCCACTTATAGATGGACAGGGAACAATGCTAGGGCCTTATTGTTGCAGGGAAAACATATAACTTACAGATAAGCACCAATAACAGTGGGCCAACAGAGAAAATCATGGCATTATAAAATCAAACACTATTCTTAGGGCTGATTGAACCTACAGTTTTATACATGTATGCAGTTGAATCTGTTGCTACCATTGAAGACCTATGGCTAGTAAGGGCCCTAGAATTATGTAAGTTCTGACTGCTTGCCTCTCTACAGTGCTTGCTAACCATGCTTCTTCAAACATGGACCTGATTAATGGCCTATTTGGGGAAATACTGTGATTAAAAATGACAGATGACTGCAGGCTTGCTATTCATGGTGGAGTCTAGCTCAGAAAAACTAAGCCAAAGGAAAGAAGAGGAGAGGGCACTGCTCCATTATTTTGGCTATTGCAGCTGCTGGGTTAAAAAACAAGCAAACAATCCAAAGCAGGGCTGTGACCATACAGGTCATACTGTGAGGGAAGTGGTCATACTGTGAAGTAAGATGGAAAACCACCATGCCCAAGGGAACCTAAGATGGACATGGACAAAAAATGAAAGATGTGGCTGAGAACCTTACTAAAATATTCAAACTCATAGATTACTATCCCTTTTTTTCCTTCATGTGGGTATGAGTGGCATGACAATGACCTAAAAACAATATCAAGACACTATAAGTAGCTTGGCAAGAAAGTTAAGGAGTTAGGAGCACAAGTGGTTTTTTTTCCATCTTCCAACAAAAGGTCAACATCCAATGAGGGAACAAAGGATTTTAGAAATCAACCACTGTCTCAAGGGTTGGAGCCTCCAAGAGAACTTTGGATTCCTAGACCATAGTCTGCATTACTTACAAGAAAGGCTTCTGCAAGGGATGGGTTGCACCTCACAAGAACCAGGTAGAATGTATTTGGAAAATGACTAGCTCACTTTATCCAAAGGGCTTCAGACTAAAACTGAGGGGGAGGGTGACCAATATTTAGGACCTAATCCCAAGTATAAACCCAAAGACAACCAATCAAAGAAGGAGGTAGAGAGTGATGGAAAGGACGAAAAATTCAGATACAAACTAGGAGATGTAGAAAGCATACTGTATCCAGGGTCAGCCATAAAGGACTCAGATACCTATACACTAACACTCAAAGTTTGGGGAACAAACAGGGTGAACATGAAGTACTAATACACAAGGGCAGGTTTGATATAGTTGCCATTAATGAAACTTGATGGGATAAAACTTACGACTAGAATGTACTGCTGGAAGAATATAAACTGTTCAAAAGAAACAAACCTAATAAAAGAGGATGTGGAGTTGCATTATATGTGAGAGATAATTACATCTCTACAGAAATGCATACCAAGGATGAAAGCTTCCTAGAGTGCATATAGATTAACATAAAAGGAAAAAAGAATGGCATTGCCATACTACAAGCTACCCAACTAAGCAGAAGAAACAGATGAACCTTTTGCTAATCAGTTAACAAATGTATATAGAAATACACCACAATAGTAACGGGGGACTTTAACTATCCTGACATCATCTGGAAGACAATTTTTGCTTCAAGTGGGAGATCGATCATGCTTCCTGGCCAACCTCACTGACAACTATGTCATCCAAAGCTAGAGGATTAAACTAGAGGGTCAGGTATAGTTACCCTAATTTTTATTAACACAGAAGATATGATAGAGGAGATTGAAGTTGCAGGAACTTTGTGGGAGAGTGACTATGTCATATTAGAATTCAATATAATGCAGACACAAGCAACAGAACATAATCAAACCGATGTCTTAGATTTTTAAAGAGCTGATTTCAACAAATTTAGAGAGGGCTTGGAAAGGATTCTATGGATGAAAATCTTAAAGGGGAAAACAACTCAAGAATTGGGAAACTCTGAAAAGTATGATTATAAAATCCCAGTCCAGCACAATGCCATGGAAAAAGAAAAATAAGAAATCCAAGAAGAAACCAGCATGATTGCACAAAGAAATCTCTAATAAACTGAAAGACAAAAAGGATAAGTGTAAAAATAGAAGGAAGGATATATAACCAAGGTAGAATACCGCTATTCAACCCAAATCTGCAAAGATGAAGTCAGGAAAGCTAAGGTTCGGAATGGAGTAAGACCTGCAACAAATGTCAAATATAATTTTAAAAGATTATTTCAATATGTTAAAAAAAGGCAAGGAAACAATTGGTCCACTAATGGGAGAAGGTGCCAAGAAAGTGACAGGCAGCAGGGAGAAAGCAGAGCTAATTAATTCATTCTTTGCATCTGTCTTTGCATAAAAGGAAAAAATAGCCCAAACTACCAAAAACAGAACCATAAAAGATAGACCAGGAATACAAATTAAAATAGGTAAGAAAATTGTAAAAGAACACCTGTCCACTCTAGACAAGTTCAAATCACCAGGACCTGATGGATTATGTCCTAGAGTTCTGAAGGAGTTGGCAGAAATGATCTTGGAATAATTGAACCATATCTTCAAAGATCCTGGAGCACTGGGGAACTACCAAAAGACTAGAAAAGAGCTGATGTAGTTCCCATCTTCACAAAAGGGGAAAAACAGATCCAGGAAACCACAAACCAATCAGCCTGACATCAATAACTAGGAAGAACTTGGAAAAAATCAAGCCACAGATCTGCCAACACCTAGAAGCAAGCAAAGTTATAACCAGAACCCAACATGGATTTGTCAAAAACATATCATGCCAAACAAATATTATTTCATTCTTTGACAAAGTAATTTAGTGGACCAGCAAAATGCTTGGATTTCAGTAAGGCATTTGACAAAGTAGACCACAACCTACTTCTTGGTAAGCTAGAAAAATGTGGAATAGACAGAATCATCACCAGATGTACCTGGCTCACAAACTGCACTCAATGTGTAGTCCTTAATGGAACTATATCTACATGGAGAGAAGTAAGCAGTGGGGCACCCTAAGATTCCGTTTTAGAGCCAGTACTCTTCAATATCTTCAAAAACGATCTAGATGAGGGAATAGAAGGGGACTTATGAAAACAAAACCAAGCTGGCAGGATTAGCCAAAACCCCAGAAGATAGGTTCAAGATCCAGATGGAGCTCAATAGACTTGAACATTGGGCCCTAAAAAGTAATATTTTACACTTAGGCAAGAAAAACAAATGTACAGGTACAGATAAGGTGAAACCTGGCTCAATAACAGTAACTGTGAGAAGGATCTTGGAATCCTAGTGAACAATCACTTAAATATGAGGCAGCAGTGTACTACAACTGTATTAACAGCTGTATTAACAGAGGGACAGAAGGCTGTATTAACAGAGGCTGTATTAACAGAGGGACAGAATCAAGATCACATTAAGTGTTAATACCACTTTATAAGGCCTTGGTAAAACCACACTTGGAATACTGGATCCAGTTTTGGTCACCACAATATAAAAAAGATGTTGAGATTCTGGTAAGATTGCAGAGAAGAGCAACAAAAGTGATTAGGGAGCTAATTAGTTTAGTTTAGCATCATAAGCTAAAACTTATGATGAACAGTATATCTAGTCTAGTGAAAAGGACTAGGGATGACATGATAGCAGTTCCAATATTTGAGGGGCTGCCACAAAGAAGAGGGGGTCAAGCTATTTTCCAAAGCACCAGAAGGCAAGACAAGAAACAATGTATGGAAACTAATCAAGTAAAGAAGCAACCTAGAACTAAGGAGAAATTTCCTGACAGTGAGAACAGTAAATCAGTGGAGGGGATTGCCTTCAGATGTTGCAAGTGCTCCATCACTGGAGGCTTTTAAAAAGAGACTGGAAA